AGAAAGCACTATTTCAGTAACGGAGGCATCATGTTCTCACGCTACCAGTGGTGTCGCAAGGGTTAGCGCTCATGAGCTTCCAGGTGAACCAGATTTTCTTAGAGATGACTGTAGATCTGCCGGACTTTGGGTCTCATACTTCTATGGATATTGGGTACGTGTCATAATACCTTTAGATATAAACCCTCCAAGTTTCTGCAAAACTGTCACATATGTAATATACATATGTACATATATATTACATATGTTGTTACATCATACAGCTAGCCTCAAATCTTAGCAACAGAGTAACCAACAKACTTATCAGAATAGAATTTGCCCCTACATAATAAATCAGTGATGCCTTTATTTCTTGCAACACATTTCRCTGTGTAATGCAGCTTCTTATCGCCCAAAGTACTGACAGCGCTATTAATCTCAGCTGCAGAAATACAAGGCAATTAAAATATTAGTTTCTTTCTTAAGCCTTTTGCAAATTTTGAATCATGTCATTTCAAAAAGCAAAGCAATTTAACCATTCTAGCTCTTACTCTCTCTAGGTGTGATTGGTTATACTTGCAGAATCTGCAACAGCACTTTCAGAACAGAATTTAATGGCTTTATTGGGCCACATTTTACATGGTGGGTAGCATGCTGAACGAGATGGGGAAATAATGGACAAAGTGAAGCTCACAGACAGAAAACAACAACAAACTTGAAGAAGAAACTACTAGAAACCTCACAGGAAAGGCAGGTGCTGCAGTGAAGGCATCCATTTCAAAGATACAAGAAAAGCCTGCACTGTTTTATGTTGCTTTGAAACCTGAGAGGAATATAAGATGTGAGACTTGCACTGGTTCTAATATGTGACCATTCCTTTGGCTGAAACAACCCACAGTCCTCGAGACAGGACTCCCACTGCCTTCAAATGAGGCACTGAAGGAAACTGAGGTTTSTCTTTGTAAAGGGAACAAGTGGGCCAGCAGCAAGCACTGCATCAGAATTAAGGCCCTTTATTGTGCTCCTTTCTTGAAATCAACACAGCCAAATTTACACAGCATTACTCTGTATGGGGCTTGCAAAAACATTTTGACACTGGTAAGTCAGAAGAGTCACTTGGTTGTGAGCTCTGAGATCGGTAAAAATCAATTAGCCGGGACTAGCAACCAACTGCACAGCGCTGAGCGCGTCCAGGGCAAGGCTGGCAGGGAACAAAAYCTAGCAAATAGACCTATGAAAACCCAGGTCACCTTTTAAAGGCTTAACTTTTTAAAACAGGCTTTTAATAATATAGGTGAATTTAAATATCCATGTGCAACAAAAGTATTTTCCAACTTCCTGAAATAAAGTTACATTAAGTAAAAGGCTACGGATTTTTAAGAGGGCAGATTTTTTTCTACACAGTTTCTTAGCATCACCAAGAGAAAAGATGAAGGGGAGGATGAACAAGAGTAATAAGGTATGTGAATTAAATTCAGTGTGAAGACACTTTTAGAGTGAAAAACCTYACTCCTCTCATTCCAGCTTTCACAAGCTAGCAGAGATTTGCTATTTTTGCCTCCCAAAAAGCTTCATATTGTGTTTAAAAACAACTGGTGAGCTGCTCGCAACTGCAGCTATTTGTCATGAGCCATTGGAGAACAGCACAATATTTTGTCTAACGAGGCTCATGAAAGCACTTCTGTAAGTTCTCAAAGCAGGAATAAGTGCCCTTGGTGCCAGCAGCCTATGTTCCCTGTATGTAACATGGGCAAATCCCAAACCCACCATCCCCTTCTTAATTACTCAAGTACCAAGTATGTAGCTGGGCCAAAAGTTATTTCCTTCTTTTACTTCACAATCCTGCTGAAGCAGCTATGATACATATTCCATGTTTGCTGAATATTACTCCTTCTCTTTGCTTTTTTCTCTTCATAGATTATTTCTATTTTCCTCAAAAGGAGCTACAAATGCGCACCTTTCTCCCTTAAGAGGCAGCTCTTGTTAGGCATCCTCAGGAGTGACTAAATTTTTTCTGAAGGCTTAAGTTAGTAAAATAGGAGCTCTTCAGTAATGTAGACCCCAAACTACCTGCTGCTGTCTCTAAGCCTTCTAGAAAGAAAGAAAAGACAGGAAAAACATTTGATCTTTCATGATTTCTCCCCGTGGAAATCCCTTCCAATCTTTTAACCACAGCTAATGGCGGTGAAAACATTTACTTGAGTGAAAATAATTGCATGATACTGGAAAAGCCTTGCTTTGAAGAAAATTAGAATTCTTCAACACATAAACAGTACATGTTTTGCCTCTTTCTGTTTTCAGTGTGCTGTAAAACTTCTAGTGTGTAATGAGATTTAGTCAAGTTGTAGAAAAAGGTTATGTACTTACACAGGCTTGTTGATACCCGGTAGATTTAAAGGCTGAACTAAGCAGCTAGCATTTTAGCACAACTTCAAAAGGATCAGGATCTCCCCCTTAGCAAAATTACTTATAAAAGAATGACAGGTTTTTGTAAAACTCTTACAAAAATAACATAAGCAGAGCTTTGCTCAAGTTCATGTTAGGTTTGCCAGTGTTCAGTGTACAAACAGCAGTGTCCTGCTCCCAGTCAGGTTAGCTGAAAAGGCAGGTGAGAATTTGCCTGAGGAAAGGGACAAAACCAGTGCATCTGGGGGGAAGCAAACACAGCCTTCATTACTGAAGCTTTCTGAGTTTGTTATCACCATGGTCTTCATTAGCAAAATGGCACTTTGTCAGTGATGTCAAAAAAGGCAGATCACCTTTCTTTCTTTTCTTTCAATAGGTACTTCTGATTTAATACAGCAAGAGACACCTGCATCCACTTAAGACCCAGTGACTAGAACCTTCTCTTGGAGTCTTGGAGGATGGTACCAATATCCACTAGGTAAGAAATCATTTGACCTAAGCCTTTTCAGTCATTAAAAGGAATTTTTTTTTTTTTAAAAAAGAACACATTAGTTGCAAATAAATACAACAATGCAGACCTCATCTTATGCAGCTCTTTTTGTGCCCGTCACATCTTCTCTTACTGGTGTTTTGAAAAGTGAGGCGATTATAAGTTACCCACCCTTCAGCAGCATCGCTGTCAAGTCACCACTCATCCTATGACTCCTTAATACTTAYTCTGCAACTTGTTTAAACCCTGCATAACACACTACACTGTCCTGGGCAATTAAGCTCTCAGCAAACACRCTTTGCAGTCACGTGCAACACGTACACTGCAGAACAACATCTAGATCATGTAGTACTATCAGAGCTACTGTAATCAGCAAACAGCAACATGGCACCTCGCTCTACATTACATTCCCCAAGGGCTGGAAAATGAAAGATGTTGGCAGCTGCTAAAAGAAGAAAAGCTCCCCGAATTAGACAAGCTAGTGCATTAAAACAGCCTTCCCATAGATAAGAGACAAAGGTTGTTGGGCTGAAAACAGAATTTTAAAATAAAGTTACCATAGAGTATTGGGAGGTCTGAATTATTCACCAATGTCACCTCTTTTTACATTCACTCTTTAACTGCAACCCCTAATTTTCTATATTGGAAGCCTGGGTATTTGTCATTTACTGAAATGCTTGCACCTGACACATAACCTTGTTAGCTACATAAAAGAAAAGAAGAACTGCAAGTGAAGCAGAGAAAAATGAAGACTATTACACTGGTCCAATCCCCTTGTGGCTATTCTATCCATTCAGTTTATGTTGGTCATGTTTTTTAAACATATGTTAAGTCGGCCTTTTCGCAAACAAAATTTCCCACTTGGTCTGTTCAAAAACTCCAAACCAAAAGTTATTTGTTATGTGTGTGATAATTTTACAGGTAAGCAACCTAAAAGTAATTCTGTTATCCTAGGTACTAGAAACACCATGTTATTATCTTGCTTGCTAGATGCCAAGGGATACAGGCCAGATAATCAGCATTTTAATTAGTAGCTAATTAAAGACAGGAGCCTTCTCTCCAAGATTCCCAATAAACTCCAGATATATCTGAGGTTGTTATCACATCCTTTAAAACAATTGCTTGGCACAAATGGAAGTGATCCTTTTTCATTTTTAAGACCCCACTTTGGCTTTTGTAGATAAGCCACTTGTACCAGGCCATTATTTGCAACAAACAAGCAAGTTCAGAAATATTCCAAGAAGTCGATTTCTTTAGTTCTAGGGAAGAAAAAAATATTACAAATATTTATATTTGAAAATTAGTATTTTGAAAACTTGGTMAACTTCCATTTTGAAGTTAGAATCATCAGTTTTTGAAAAAAATCCCTTTACAAACAAGGTACAAAATCATGGAAATTTTCACATTTTCATGAAGGAATTCCTCTCTTGCTTTTCTTATTATGTCGTAGAAGGTGAAGTTAAGTAGCCACAGCACCCCAGAAGGCAGGAGCTATTATACCACAAATTGTCTGATGAGGTAGGTATGTGTATATATCACTTCCTTAAGAGGAAGGAAATGCTCAATACAAAACTCACCTTTCTCCTTTGGGCAAACATATTTTTGATTAGCCTTAACCCCCACAGCTCAGTGCTGAATAGCACAGAGAGGGAGAAAATCTATTTAGAGTCTTCCAGACCTCAAGGGAACACTAAATCACCCAGAGACATAAATAAATTGTTATGCAACAGACAACCTAGCTCTGCAGGAATAGATTTAGAAGTACATAGAAATAAGAGCAGCTCACCAATTAACCAGAATATTGGGTCAGAATAACACAGAGCCTATTTCCACTGCAGTCAAGAAAATTCAGGATGGGGTCCAYATACCCTTTAGTCTCACTAAATGGTATTAGTTCTGCAAGCAACCAGTTTCCATGTGAAGAGCAATTGCCAAGCAAGGAACAGGCACCAGAAGAACCAGGGAAGCGGCCATAAGATTAGCAGCAAGACCAAGAAAAGCAAGTGCACAGCTGGCCACTTTGTTCTTCTTAAGCTTTTTATTTTTCTGCAGCACTACCTCTATCACAAGTGCTCAGCAAAGGGGACCTTTCCTCACTTCACCTCCCAGACCCATCCAGACTCACCTTCATTAAGCTTAAAATACCACTTCTTTGCTGGACTCCAAGTTCACCAGTTCAAGGCTCTTGCCTTTTATCTCCAAAGCTCTGCATCTTCACCTCACTGTGATGAGGCTTCCACAAATCTGCTCATCCATATAAATATAAACTTCTCTTTAACCATACTTACTACAACATATCCCAACCAGAACAGACTAACCTTTAAGCTGCAGCTCTTCTTTTTCTACCCTTAACCGTTGCCTCTTTATGGGGTCCAGGTGTTTTCCATCAAGTCCAGTGAGGAGGCACTAATGAATCACAGGTGACCTGACTTCTTAGTCTCTTAAAGACAGAAATAACTTTTAAGATCTTGCCCATTGCTGTGTTAACTTTTACCTTTTAAAAATCTTCATGTGATTATACCATTATGCATGAACTAGGAAAACAGTCTACTTTGCTCATTACAATTGTACCTGTATTGAGACTACAGGGACGTTAAAAGAGATTGCTCCTTTTCTCTGTGCTAGTGCTCAGGATACTCTGTACTTTGCACCACGTTGGCCTGTGTTCCCAGGTAAATTCTGCTTGTCAGCACAGAGGCAAATCCAGGAAACATGAAGCACCTGAAGCATCAAACCACAGTACACAAAAGTCCAAACAAAACATTTCAAGTGCTGCAGCTCCTGAGCCCCTTTTGGGTTGCTGTTTAATTATGTATTGTAAGYCCTCTTCTGAGATGTAGTAAGATTTTTCAAAATTTCATTTTAGTAACCCTGAACATTTTTTTCTTTTTTCATCACTGAGAAACCCTACACAATTTTGCTGCTTATAGAAAATGAAACATCATGGTGATATTTTGTATTGTCACTTAAGTAGAGATGACCTATAGCGCTGTGTTGTGAAAATTAGAGAGAAAAAAAAAAATCTGGGAAATATATATTCCAAAAATCCTGAAAGTTAGTATTAACTTTCTACACATACAAGGAAGGAAACTGGATATGCAAGCATTGCACAAGGAAGCCGAGACATCTGGGTCCAAGTGGTGTGGCAGCGGTCAAGGAAACAAAACACATATSAAAACACAATGCTAAGATAAATAACTGCTAAAACAAAATAAAATAAATCCAAGTGCTGTGGTGAAACAGGAGGTGTTAAGCAGGGCATAGGCAGCCCATATCTGCCTACACAGTCCTGGCCTGCAGTCTCTGCTTCCCCTGTCACCATGAAATGGCGGAGCTGCAGAGCGGGCAAGCGCAGCACAGGGGAGGATGTTAAATGGCGGCCACCCCCCTGGGCCGGCATCGCCACGTTGGCACCGCRCCGAGGCGGGATCCGCTGGCAGGAAGACATGGGTCACTGTGCGGGGAGATGATTATTCTAGTATCTATTAATTTGGGTTTATTTGGGTAGTTATTCGAGCCTCTTTTTGTGATCTGCTGTATTATAAGCAGTGTCTTTGGGGACGAGTGACAGCACTTGTTGCCACGTCACAACCGCCATGGCTCCGCTGCGATCGGCACGGTTTAGGCCATGATCTCAGGACACAGGCTGCTTCTTTTTAACATGTTTATTTTGGTGAAGAGCTGACGTAACCATGCGGTTGTGCCCGTGGGGAGCCRATCCCACCAGGAAAGGGATAGCCCTGGAGTTAATGTGAACACAAGGGAGTGACCAAGGTGCCATCAGGCTCCATTTTAGGATGACTGAGATACACTTGGGTAGCCGGAATTCAAAATACGAGCAGATCTCCTGATAAAAATGACCTGATCCACATAAATCTCACACCGATGTGTGGGCTTTGCAGGGAGAGTCTGGTGATAGGTTTATGCAGTTACAACATCCATTTAGAGAGAAAATGCCAAAATGTTCAGGGTCTCTTGCCAGTAGGTTAAAAGTTTTAAAAATAACAAAATAAAGCTTATTAACCAGCTGTTTATGAAATGAGATGAGATGAAGTCTAAGCTCAGGTAACTTTCCTGTGGTACTACTTAAAAACAGTTGCCTCTCTCGCACTGCTTTTCTTCTGCTAAGAAAACCTTTTTTTTTTTTTTCTTTTTTTTCTTTTTTTTCTTTTTTTTCAAGCAACGAGTTGAAGGTGCCCATGATCAGGGTGGTGGACCTTGCTTTAGAAAATTTAAAAAGCAGCAGGTCACAAGAACCTGTGGTTAAAGACTAGTTTTGTGGGTACTGTTTCTGACATTACTTTTCCTACTGCCTATTGATATTTCCTTTGAGAACAAGTTATTTTTGAACTACAGTCTGCAGACTGCAGACTGGTAGCAACTAGGGTTGGACACCTCAAATTAGCAGTTGGAAATACTGCTTTCTGTTTCTTATGTTTTTCTGCTATCATACACACTAATTTTGTGCATTATCTATGCATACTGGGTTGTGTTCTGTTGCTTTTTTTTCTTTTTTTTTAATTGATTTAGGATGGATATTAAATTAGCATTTATTGGAATGCTTTAAAAGATTCATGTTTCCTGAGAAGGTAAAGTTTTCAAAAATACAAATATGATAATCCATTTAACTCTGTATTCGTGCTACAGCTGAACTGTCAGGGTTATTAAAAGCAATTTATAAGTAAATATATTGCAAATCAGACAAAATTACAAATTCAAGTGTCAATATGATCTTCTAAGTCACGAAATTGAAAATCAATATATCATAAACTAATACTTTCCAGGGACATTGATATAGATCTGTTCTCCAAAAAGGGTGTCTTTCAGCAGCTAGCCCATAGGTCTAATTTTTTTCAAATATTTCCTTCTCTACCTTCCTTTTGTCATGTCTATGATACACACAGAAACGGGAGATCATTATTTTTTTCCATATGATTTGTACTTTTCCCAAGAATAGTAAAAATCATACACAAAGTAGAAAGCAGTGAGMATGTCTATAATGTGACATCATAATTTTTGCATTGCATTTGCATACTAATGATATTGATGGGAAGTACAAATTGAAAGCGGTTATTAGAACATGTAAGCTGAATTTTCTTGCATAAGCCATTCTCATATTGTGTCACCATAAAAAAAAAAAAGAAAGAAAAATTGATGAATGTTCCCCCTGAAGCTGACAAGTTACAAGGGCTTGTACTGAGGGAATAATAACTCCAAGATTCATAAAAACGGTAATTACTTTATCAACCTTCCAGTCACATTGCAGATACATATCCTGAATCATTCCAAAATAACACTGACATAAAATTAGACTTTATATGATATTTCTCTTTTTACCTGAGGTGTCCTTAAAAAGAAAAAAAAAATGCTGTCCAGTTTATTAGTAATTACCTTGGAACCAAAGGATCAATTTATCTCATATATCTCTAAAAACTTAGATAAGGTTGGATGGAGTGAGGAGAAAAAGGAGTAGACATCAAGAGGAAAAAAATTATTTAAGTGAAAGCATAATGCTGGCCCAGGAATAAATGACTATATATTTTGGCTATGGATAGCATAAGTTAGGAATTTGAAGGCTCCTTATAAAGCACCAGCTTCTTGGACAGCCTCCCAGGAAGGACAATGGAGACAAAAAAACTTCATAAACCCAATCAGCTTAAAATGGAGTTTGATTAATTTATAAAAGAGATTATATGGTTGTGCCACAACCCAGGAGGAATTTCCCACATTCCATTCAGCCTTCGTTGTCACAGTGTTTGATGAGAAGAAGACCCACAAATGGGTCCAAAATAAAATCCTAAAACGGCTTTTTATTTCCCATATGAAACTGCCCAAAGTATCTGCAGCTGCACACGCACAGGAAAGACGAGAGTGTAGCCATGCCAGTGTCTGGCTCATAGCTACGTGTTTTAAAAAATGGATCTTTTGGTCTCTGGAGTTACACCTGGCCTGCATTGCAGAGCTCATCTGAGACCTGCAGAGAAGATAGCCAAGAAAATTAYGAGTATATGCATCAAAGTGGAAAAAAAATTAATTGTAATTACTTAGCTCACTGCTAAGCAATGGGGGGATGTAGGTGGGAGACTAGAGTCCTTGCAAAGGACAGGCATAAGGAGAAGGTGGGAGCTCCCCAGAACCCACCCACAGCTCAGCTTAGGGGTGGGCAAAGGCCTCAGCACCCTCACAGCAGCCCGGAGCACCATGAACTTTGCTGGACTAGAAACGAGGGGGAGAGAAGCAGCCTGGTCACCCACTGCCCTTGGGTGGGGGAAGTTGTTTCCATGTTAAAATTAATGGCATTAAAAGTGCTGCAATGCACAACTTCCACTGAAGTGCATGGGATTAGAAATGTATGCAACTAGAAACTAGAAAATTTTAAAGGCTATTCAGACAACTGAGGCAAAAAATATTGAAAACAACTGCAGTTTTTCGTCCTAGTATAAAATTATCTTGATTGTTCTTTCCTTTCCTGTGTAAACTTGACCTACACATGTATTGTTTTTTACATTTCCATCACATTATTTAAGAAAATGAATTTCTAAGCAGTCCTCAGCTCAGATCATAAATATAGCTGGCCAGTTCAGTCTTCTATAAGGAGTCTTTTTTGGGTGGTAATCTAGCTACAGAAATCTATTACAGATCTAACTGAACCTTCAATGTGAGATTTCATGCTAAATCTAGCCAGAGAAGAGGCAATAGCTCAGCCTTTGTTCCAGTTCAATCCTTGACCTTTTTGTTTACAGTGCTAATAGGGGAACCAGTTATTCAGAGTCCAAATGGCATTTTTGAGATGTGAATAATCACACAAGGCAATAGACTGAAACAGTCAGTACATTCACACTGCCTGCCTAACTGAGCTATTAGCTAGTTATGATGTTCAGTCACTAGTACAGATCTGTGCAGGAATAGAGACAGTGACCTATAGGAGAAATAATCCATATCCCATTACCAACTCCCTGAGACATTTGTTCCCTTTACAGACCAAGTTTTTCAATGACATCCTTTTAAAAAGACTCTCTTTCATGCAGCATTTATCATTCTGACCTTGTTGTAGAGGAAATTTCAGTTCTGTCCTTTCAGACATGCAGATGATGCAAAATATCACTCTCCTCTCTTGCAGTACGAAGATACAAAGCCTAAAACCCTAAATCACGATGTGGACTTTTCCCCTCTCCTCAGCACAAATTGTGCTGCTGGTCGTGGGACGCAGACACAAGCGCCTCATCTGCCGGGACTAGGTCACGGCTTCGTCTCTCTCCATAGCCCTATATATTTTG